GGGTTATCCTGTACCTAAAATTTTTACTCCATTTTTGGAGTTATAATAACTCCCTAAAAACTACGGTGCGTGGATGGACGAAAGCGACTCCGCTATGTTTGGACCACAGCAATATTTTTTGAATAAGGGAAAGCACATATTTTAAAAAGCACGGTACAAGTGATCGGAGACTTAACAGTCAGTTTGTTTGCTAATTTGCATGGTTATTGTTTGTTGAAACAAAAGGCACTGTAGGGAGTTGTGTTTGCTTTTAAGAACTTTTGAAACATTATTACCGGAGACCTGTAAACCGAGGTGATGCATATGCAAATAAATGATTTGACAAGTGCTGAGTCGGTAGTATTTAAAACTTATTTCTCTCACCGAGTTGTTGTGCAGTTTAGGATCAGAGGGACTTAAATCGATTGGTTTGTGTTTACCCCGAAAACAAAAATTCTCAAACACTACAGATTTTTCCAGGAATTTCATCAATCCATTTATTTACGCAATTTGCTTTCCTAAAGCAGGATTGAAAAAAAGAAAAAACTTAAATTGTAAACAACGCCTTTAACTGAACAATCAGATCAGTTGTCTTACGAAATCTGCTAAAGGAAAACCTAAGTTTCATTATGATCGTTGATCGCCGAACAAACAGCTCACAAGAGTCTAGTAATCTGAACTATAGTCGGTGTCCGCGGGTATTGATATGGAAACCAGCTTGTTAAACTTTCAAGACTGAAGTCTACCTCAGCGACCGCTATACGATTCGTTGAAAAGTTGTTTTGCAGTTAATCGTAACGATTAACTGCAAATCGATCGTAGCGATCCTATATGAGGAACGAGTCTTTATCAGAACGTATCTTTTCCAGTGCGAGAACATCTTAAATTGTTTCAATTAAGCGGCGCGCTAGCAAGAAGGTTATTTTGTATTCCTTGATACTTCGTAGTCCCCCATTTCATCTCATTCAATTGCAAATTGCTGAATACACAATTCTCACCCAAAGAAAAAGAAACTATCCAATCAGTTTGATCTGATTTGATGACGTTACTCTTTCCTGATTGGCTGACACCTCCGCTAGTATTCTTTCTCTATATATTTGTGATACCACCCGGATGGTTTGGGCGGATCCGTAAACCACTGCACAGTAAACCTCTCAATACTTCATCCATACTCAATCAACCAGTCCGTTACAAATCCCAATAGTGAACCCTTGAATGCTAATAAAGCCTTCTCACAGCCTGGCTAGTTGTGATTACCCTCTTTAACTCAGGGCTGCTGAATGTGATTATAAACAAGTAAAGCCATTCATCTGTTATAATATTGTACTGTCAGTGTAAATACCAGGTCATTTGTGAGAAGCAAACTAGTTTTAACCTTGTGCGACAGCGCATGCTAAGCGAATGAACTAGAGGATAAAGCACTTAAAAAGAAATCGCTAAGGCAGTTAATACATCGTGTGTTTATGAAGTTAAAAATGTATCACGCGGATGGTACTTACAGTCTAAATCTTTTGCATTTCTACATGATAGGTAGTAAGGGATATTCAAATTAGAGTTGCTTGCAATCGAAATCAATAGCAAAGTGCATCCTTCATAAATCAGAAAACACACTTAACCAAGTCAGTGTTATAACAATTCAGTCAAGACCGGCAGTCTTCTAAGTTTTCAATCATTTGCCCCAAAGCATGTAGCTACAGGAGAAGCTGTAAAAGTAGTCCCTGTCGATTCTAAATTGAACAAAAATGGCTGACTAACAAATGTGACATTTGATCCTTAAACCGCAAGGAATGTATTTTACTAGGTTTCTAAAGAATGTATATTTAGCCTTTTTCAACAGAACTTTTGAGAAAAAAAAAGAGAAACAAATGACCTGTAATTTCTACTTTCTTCGCGGTTGATTTGCTTGTCCCGCTTCCTTAAACTAAATGATAAGAAGTTATATGAAAAGCATTTAATTACAATAGATCACAAGCATAATTTATATATTAATTTCCGTTTGGTAAGGATCACCTATTTTCACAACGCGACCGTTATCAATAAATCTGCCTTCCTGGTTCAGCCTCTCATTTTCAACCTCTTTTCACTACGCTTTCAGACTCATTTATCAAGTCACGTTTATACAACCTCAGGGATAATACTATTATACCGATTAGCTCAAACTATAATGCTTTTTGACAAATATGTTTGGTTATAATATTTGGCACAATTTTTTTTTACCGACTGAGGTATTTTTACCTTGGCCGCGCGAGCCGAATTGTCCATCAAAGTTCAGTATAATGGATGATTTCTACTTCAAGGGTGGTCACCCCTTGTGCCACATGGCACTTAGGGCCTCCACAAGGAGTTTCCACACCTATCTGGCTCTCTGTCAACTGCTACTTCTTTGCACCTCATCACAAAAGCCTCGGCGTCCTCTCTCTCGTTTCTGTTTCCATTCTCTTCTTTCCTAAAATAATCTCTCGATGTATTTGCCGCATGCTCCTATACGTGCGCAAGTTTGCGTAGCAAGCGCCCAAAAGATTTTGGAAACCAAACAAGAACCGACCGCGAAGTAAGAGGACGCGCGCGTTCTTGTGTGTCCACCCTCCTCTTACGCCCCATATGAGGAGATCTACAAGGAAAGTCATAGAAAGTTAGTTTCACTGAGGCTCGACGAATGAAACCTTACTCAAGAACTGTCGAGGGCATCGTGTGCAAAACAGGAAAAAGACAATGTTTATTCTACACCAGGGCTACAACAAGCGATCAATTATTGCTCGACAAAATAAATAGAGCTCTTAGTTTATAACTAAGGAATTTGCCCTTTGCAGGCAGCCAGATATCACGGATATCTACCGCGTATTTTGCACAAAAAGCAGGAAATACAAGAATAAAGTAATGCCTGACATAACGTTGAAAGGTAAAGACAGTCATGACTGCACGAAGTCTTATTATTTAATCGGGTATTCAATCCGTCTTCAATCGCCAAAGGTCGTTGACATGAGATAGACAGCTTAGTTTAAAGCTAAGCTTATTGATGCTTGCAGATGGCAAGTGACGGAACATACTTGGAAACGTATAAAAATATAAAAACCAGACGCTGAAGTTTAACCTGAATTAACTTTGAAATATTTACATGGATTTCTAGACTTTGGCAACACTCGTATCTTACCGAAGACTCCGTTTCGCATTAAGCTGAGATCAGCTAATTTCTTTCCTTGGTAAACAGATTTCCTGCCGGCAGGGCCAGTGGAAAAGTCTCGCATTTAGCACAGTGCGTGAAACAGTGCGTGTGTATCTGAATTACGTGTGTTTTCGATTCGATCAAATATTGTTGCATCACTTGCATGTGCATTCACGCAATTACAGTGATATCAGATGGAACACTAGGGCATTCGTGGCCACATCCCATGCATATCAGTACGTAGAACAAAGGCATCCCAAGAATGTGGACAGATCGTGGGAAAACCTCGCTATACAGTTTATAAATTGCTGCTGACCACCCCACCTAGAATACGTTTCCGAGTCGCTTTTGCTCGCCCGCAATGATAAGAAGACTTCTGTTGGAGGGTATGTGTAAGAGGTACCAGTTTTCAATGGAAGGTATATAAAATGCCCACCTTCTCTGTCAAAAATGGTATATTAAAGGGTAAACTAAGGGGGTGGGTCTCTGGGTGGAGCCTCCTCCCAATTCACCTCAAGTATCCGGCCAGAGACGAAGGGTTTTTTTCCTCTCATCCCCTTGGTACAATTAAGTCTAGTGAAAATAGAAGATGGATATCAAATCTAGAAACAATAACGACAAGGAATTCGTAAGAAAATATTACCTATTTATTAATTAATAAACAACAACAACAACTGTTTTTGAAATACCATTTACATAGATTGAATTGCATAGAAGAAAAATAAAGGATGATAATAGAAAAATACAGGAATGAATTACAAAATATATAATAATTAATAATCAGTTACAACACCCTAACTCTTGTTTCGTTTTCTTAAAAGATTCGAAAACAAAATAACCGATTTTTTACAAATAAAATTATCTACGTTATTAAAAAGGAATAATATTTTATCTTGTTCTTTCAGAGTATAAAAGATGGGATATTTCGAGATTATATCATTAAAATACGTTTTCCTTATACACAAATAAGAATCACAGTGAAGAAGAAAAAATCTTAAAATCAAAAATCGGTTGTTATTATTAAAACGGCGCAATGGTGGACAGCGTAACGAGGATTATATTCTTAAATTATTATTTTTTCTTTTAATAAATTAATTTTAGCACCTTCCTTTTTAAAGTTGAATTTATGTAAATAAAATATATATTGTTTATGGTAATCAGAAGCCTATCTGAGCTTTTACGTAACAAAGACCTTCGCCCAGACTGCTCAAAAAAATAAAATGCCCATCAATAAAAGCTGTTTGCATTTCTGATAGATGTATCGATTGAAAACAATTTTTGACAGTTATTTTGAAAGTTATGGAAGTTCTGAAAGTTAAGAAAAAGGAAATCAAACAATCGCAAAACATCAGCACTGAAAAAGAGGTCAGAGGGGATTCCGCGTTGGTCATCCATCCAAAACTAACCGCGTCCGACAGGGCTTAACTTTGTGGAACGGACACGTCTCAATATACAGCAGCAGCTTTTATTGAGCTACTGATAAACAACAACTCGAAATGCTATTATACAACGTGATTATACCGTTACTGAAACTAACAGTAACATAGTTTAGAACTCATCGAAAAACGTGCTAAATTACATTTATACCGAACCGTTTCGTATAGTTTTTAAGATGTAATCAAGTAGGTAGGACCGAGGCGACTACATTCAAACGACACGAAACGATCTGGTTAACAAGTACGGCTTATCACACAGTCGCTTTTGCTCGGGGCAGGTTTCTCTCGCTTATTTGAAAGCCTTATCTCAAAGTACACATTCCCCATCGTCACCGGGTGAAACAGTACACATCATATAACAAAGGAGTTTGCGGTGAGGACCTCGGGAAGACAAACGCCAGCGTCGCCTATACTGCTGGCACTCAAAAGAAGAGATTCTTGAGGGAGGAGTTTGCTGTGCGGGCTTGAGAAAGAGAAGAAGCACCGGCGTCCCCAAAACTGTTACCAATTAAATCCAAACTAGTCAGGGAGGAGTTTACTGTGAGGGCCTGAGAAAGAGAAGAAGCACCGGCGTCCCCAATACTGTTACTACTTAAATCCAAATTAGTCAGGGAGGAGTTTGCTGTGAGGGCTTGAGAAAGAGAAGAAGCACCGGCGTCCCCAATACTGTTATCACTTAAATCCACACTAGTCAGGGAGGAGTTTACTGTGAGGGCCTGAGAAAGAGAAGAAGCACCGGCGTCCCCAATACTGTTACGACGTAACTGCAAACTAGTCAGGGAGGAGTTTGCTGTGCGGGCTTGAGAAAGAGAAGAAGCACCGGCGTCCCCAATACTGTTATCACTTAAATCCAAATTAGTCAGGGAGGAGTTTGCTGTGAGGGCCTGAAAAAGAGAAGAAGCACCGGCGTCCCCAATACTGTTATCACTTAAATACAAACTAGTCAGGGAGGAGTTTGCTGTGAGGGCCTGAGAAAGAGAAGAAGCACCGGCGTCGCCAATAATGTTACGACGTAACTCCAAACTAGTCAGGGAGGAGTTTGCTGTGAGGGCCCGAGAAAGAGAAGAAGCACCGGCGTCGCCAATACTGTTACGACCTAACTCCAAACTAGTCAGGGAGGAGTTTGCTATGAGGGCCTGAGAAAGAGAAGAAGCACTGGCGTCCCCAATACTGTTACCACTTAAATCCAAACTAGTCAGGGAAAAGTTTCGCGTGAGGGCCTGAGAAAGAGAAGAAGCACCGGCGTACCCAATACTGTTATCACTTAAATACAAACTAGTCAGGGAGGAGTTTCCTGTGAGGGCCTGAGAAAGAGAAGAAGCACCGGCGTCGCCAATACTGTAACCACGTAAATCCAAACTAGTCAGGGAGGAGTTTGCTATGAGGGCCTGAGAAAGAGAAGAAGCACCGGCGTCCCCAGTACTGTTACCACTTAAATCCAAACAAGTCAGAGAGGAGTTTGCTGTGAGGGCTTGAGAAAGACAAGAAGCCACGGCCTCCCCAATTCCGTTACAACTTAAATGCAAACTAGTCAGGGAGGAGTTTGCTATGAGGGCCTGAAAAAGAGAAGAAGCACCGGCGTCCCCAATACTGTTATCACTTAAATACAAACTAGTCAGGGAGGAGTTTGCTGTGAGGGCCTGAGAAAGAGAAGAAGCACCGGCGTCCCCAATACTGTTACCACTTAAATCCAAACTAGTCAGGGAAAAGTTTCGCGTGAGGGCCTGAAAAAGAGAAGAAGCACCGGCCTCCCCAATACTGTTACCACTTAAATCCAAACTAGTCAGGGAAAAGTTTCGCGTGAGGGCCTGAAAAAGAGAAGAAGCACCGGCGTCCCCAATACTGTTATCACTTAAATCCAAACTAGTCAGGGAGGAGTTTACTGTGAGGGCCTGAAAAAGAGAAGAAGCACCGGCCTCGCCAATACTGTTACCACCTAAATGCAAACTAGTCAGGGAGGAGTTTGCTGTGAGGGACTGAAAAAGAGAGGAAGCACCGGCGTCGCCAATACTGTTCAAACTTAAATCCAAACTAGTCAGAGAGGAGTTTGTTCTGAGGGCCTGAGAAAGAGAAGAAGCACCGGCTTCCCTAATTCTGTTACCACCTAACTCCAAACTAGTCAGGGAGGAGTTTACTGTGAGGGCCATGGAAATCGCAGCAGCACCAGCATCGTGTATCCTTGTGTAGCCAAAATCCACTTTAGTCAGCGACGACATGTCAAGGTGCTTACCTAAACTACAAACTAAGCGAGTTTTAAGGCTTTCCTTAACACTTGAACATTCCAACAAACACTCACAGGCTAAACTCATATATGATTTACGGTCTTCGGCAGAGCTGATTTTTTTAGCAATGACAATAAACAACGACACTGCAGTTTCCTCACGCCGTGAGGCTATGATGCCACTCATGAACAAAAAGACCTGTCTCAGTTTATCCAAGTATCTCTTATCATCTACAACTGAGGTTAAGTCTCTTTCTTTGCTCATAACTTGAAACGCAAGGAAAAGGCCAGCAAAAAACTCCTGAAAGCTTTTGTGTAAAAATGCAAAGCGCGTGCAAGGTTTGCGGTTGGCGCCACCTTGTTGAAAAGACAAGAATCCAAAATTGACAAGCTTGACGGTATCTTCCTCCTTTTCAAAGAACGACTCTCCTTTAAGAAGGGATTCTAACGCGAAGCTGCCCAAAAGCAAAAGTTCTTTCTTATAACCTGAAATCAAGTCTTTATTGCTGCTTTTAAGTCTGTTTTTTTCTTCATATCTTCTCAAAACAAGGACAACAATTTCTACGTACAACTCAGTCCTGCTTGTTGGAAGAACACCTTTGAAATCCTCGAAAAGACAACAGAGTAAAGCTGTATTTAGTGGATTTTTTGTTAACTCGCCTAGCATGTTAAGTGGATGTTTATCATCATCATCATTATCATCATCATCATTATCATCATCATCATCATCTTCATCATCATCGTCGTCGTCGTCGTCGTCATCATCATCACCATCATCATCGTCGTCGTCGTCGTCGTTGTCGTCATCATCATCATCATCAGCATCAGCATCATCATCATCATCATCATCATCATCATCATACTCTGGAAGTTTCAATCGTTTAATCAGCTTCTCAGCCAACGGTTCCTTGCCTTTAAAATACTTTCTGATAAAACTTTCCGCATCCTTTTTAGTAAATCCTACAATCTCCCACAGGGCGTCACAGTATGGCCTTACTTTCTTTCCAACCTCATGACGAGATGTAATGACAATGTGACAAGCTGGGAGGAGTTTACTGTGAACGAGCGAGTAGTACATGTCCAGTTTAAAGGAATCTGCCTCATCTAATCCATCAAGCAAAAGCAGACATTTGGCCTGATTGTCTCGGATGTATTTGAAAAAATTCTCCTTCGCCTCTGGGTCAATATCATCTGGAAGAAGTTGGTCGTCAATAGCTTCCCAGATGTCAGATTTAACATCGTTACATCTAAGCAAGAGCAGCACTTCAAATGATGGAAAAGACGTGTCCCATTCATCTTGTTTATTTGCCCAGTCGTAGGCCAGTTTCTGCGTGTAGGTGGTTTTTCCTATGCCAGGTTCTCCTTCGATCAAAAGAATCCGCGGTTTCTGGCAATCAGGGTGGGGTCTAAAGATAGCAGTCATGTTGGTGATTTCATCATCGGTCAACGTTCCTCGTGTTTTTTCTCTGTTCACGATCTTCAGTCGGGTGAAAATCTTATTCAGGTTGAAATTAAGGTCATCACACCATGGAAATGGCACCAGCCGTCCTTCACGACGTTTGTAAAGCTGACGAATCCTTTCTATGGTTCTTGGCACCCCTGGGAAATACAAAAGACTAAAAGTAAGATCCATTTGGTTTAATAACACCGTCATACAGTGTACGAGCTGTCCACGCTCTTCATCGTCTACGACGCGCTTTCATGCTTTTGCAATGTTGCACAACGAACTATTTAAAGACCTTTTTGGGATTACCAATAATGATTCTTAATCCTAAGATGAAGTATGAATTATGTGAAAAAATATTTACATAACCCAACATAACGTGTTGCACGAAATTTTTTCGGGAGTTTATTTGTGCAGATTGGCGATTTTTGTGTTTTGCAGAAACTAATTTTTGCGATTTGGAGAGAGTGGTTTTTCTTGCTGGGAATTATTTTGCGATTTTCAGAAAGTACCCAGTACCCAGCGTTGATAACATTTTCTGTATTTTCGTTTTAAGTGAGAACGTGCCACAGAAAAACATATTTTCAAACAAAAAAAAACCAATATTTCATTGCCTTTTTTCTATACCGTTTTGTTTCTGAAAGAAAGAGACAAGTTGTGATTGAACAGAAACGATTTCTTGGTACTGTTTTGTTTGTGTAGCGAATTAAAGTTAGATAATATTTACTCTGGAGTAAACTTTCCAGGAAAAGCGTTTGTGGTAATTTTTATTTGCGGGAACTTACCTTTGCGGATCGCTGGAAAAATCGTAAAAATTAAAACCCGCTAAAATTTCGTGCCACACGGTAGGTTTGCGCGTCTTTAAAGGCGATACATCTAGAGCGAGCGAGGATATTCTTCGACAAAGTCCCGAAATTTTACAGACTTTTGTATGGAGGAAATGAACTTGCTCTCTTCCATAGAAACGTCTTTTTGAAGCTATATATTGGTTAGTTTTCAACAAATCACTCTTTAACTTAGCAACTTAAGTGATTTTAGTGTGTTCTTTCCAGTGGTGTTGACGGATTTTTTCTAATGGTAGCAATCAAAACAGTCAAAGTACGTGGGAGTGTATATTTTTTTATGTTAAAATGGCTTGTGGTCGGCTCATTTTTTCCCTAGACTGCAAAACAGTTTCTTTTTCTTTCAGAAAATTAAACGCTGCTACTTAGACACAGAGCACCGTGGACGGCGAGGAGTTTTGGCGTGTGTCGCACGCGACCCCCGACGCAAATTAGTCACTCTCTCCAGTATCACTCAGTTTTCACTCTCTGTTTGTTGAGTGACAAACGCAAAAACAAAGCTGTTTGGTGTCTATAGTTTTCCCTAAATCAAATGAAGCCTTATTAAAATAAAAAACTATACCATACCGCACCGTTTTGAGCATTTTAGGGGCATTGCTGTTAGTCTCGTCAAAAACTGTACTAGCCTGTTCCAGGCTCTCAGACAGTAGGGATGGCGCTCAAGTGAAAGGCACGCGGAAATATGAAAAAGGGGGCGTGTTCGCGCTTTCTCAATTTCGCGGACCTGGAACAGTCTAAAGCTCTACTAACATGATCCTTACCATAAACTGACTTTAGTCACAATTTCAACATGCGTTGTTAGAGAAAGATACCTGCAAGATGCTGCTGAATTATGGATTCAGTTTGCTGAGATGTACTGACAGTATACATTCCCCTTTTGGTTGGTGTTGAGCTCTGGTCGTCGCACAAAGCACCTGGTGAAGAAAAATCGTTGGTTGAGACGCGGGCCGCATCATGTACATTTATTTCGGTTAACGTTGTCGTACTTCAAGTCCTCATGCATACTCCACAAGACTGCAAGGTCACGTGGGTAACTGTAAATTCTTTGTGATTTGGTCAAACGTTCGGGGTTGACACTAAATGACAGTGCTACAGAATGGTATAAAACGTCACAAACTTTTACCTTCTTCAGGGTTTGGTTGATTTTTATATGGAATTACCCATATTAATTTGCGGTCTCCTCGAGACTCTCCTAAACTGCAACGTTAACCAAAATAGCTGACCGTAGACCAACAACTGAACTTTCAACAGCATATTTAAGGTTGAGTTGGATGGATTTACTAGCACAATTTCCTTTTTTGATAGACGGTGATTCCTAACAAAAGAATGAACTGACTTAAAGTCAGCTCTGTAAGGCGCATGTGCGGAGCTGTACGCGTCTCATGATGAATGTTTCGCTCATTTCGCCCCATATAAGGTAATCCAAGAAAGTCTTTGATCTAGATGGATTCCATGTTGTGGATTCTGGACTCCAGATACTGGATTCCGGATTCCTTGTCAGTTGAACTTGAATTACGGATTCCAGTTGCTGCGGGATTCCGGATTTCTGGGCTGAGTTCCAGATTCCAAAAGTTGGAATTCCAGAATCCAAAGCCTAAAATTCCGGATTCCACGAGCATAGGAATAGGTACAGTACGTCAGCTTTAAAGAAAGAAGAACATTTTAAAAATTGAATGTTTATATATTACCTGCACGGTTCTCAGTTAGCTTCCGCTTCCTAGCACTATCGTGCTGAGCCTCAAAGAGACCATCCACTGAAAGAATCAGCCAAAGACAACATTAGCGTTTTGTGTCCTACTCTTAGTCGATACGCAATTTATAGCTATGGAAAGAACGTATAATCTGAATTTTTGACCAGAAACGACGCACATTTTCTTTAAGTTTGTCTAACTCTCAACTGAAAGTGCTAGACTTAAAGTTGAGCGTCTAAAAGTTGAGGTAACGACCCCAATCCTCTCAAGTGCTTCTTTCCAACTGTGACAGAATTCGTGCGTGACATTACGGAACTTTTTGAATTTGAACTAGTTTTGTAGGACCTTAAACTCTGAAGGGAACCTCGAGCCTATTTAGCGTCGATCGTCTTACTAGGGACCTTAAGATACTATGGACGCGGCCGAGGAGGACGTCAACCGGAACTGAAATGTTCAATTCTTGGAACTAATTAGTATAATGCCACAACGTCGACCTGAAGTCGCGACGGTGAAAACTAGAAGTTTGGCCGCCTCGTAAAACGGTGAGTTGGTTTTCATGTTTTCAGTGCCGAAATTGCTTTTCGTACAGGATTTTCGATCCATTTTACTTCAAGAGACACATTTAAGTGTTTTTAGTGTGGTGTTCTCTCAAGATTGACTCTTATTTTTATGCTATCAATTAAAGCCTTTTGGGTTCAGTGTTTTGGCGACAACTGAGAATGAAAGCGCTGAGTCTTTCGACACAAATGTAACACTATAACTGCTTGTTTTTAAGGGGACAACGTTTTCGCTTTAGGATAGTATTTGAAAAATTTAAGAGACGAGAAGTCGAATAAAAATTGTTGGAAAACAAAAATCTAGGCTTGTAATAAACTTGAACATGTCGGAGAAAATTGAGATCTTGAACAAGACGCCATGGTTCATTTATTAACTTTTATAATTTTATTTTGTTCACTTTCAGCGATGGAGCGGTCTGAAGATCAAAATCTCGCCTTAGTACAGGAAGTTCTCATAACAGAACCATATCGTTTTAAAGCAAGATCTAGAACAACGGAAAGCGAAAAAGTCTGGCAACAAATAGCTGATAACCTGACTCCGATCATACCCTCAAGTTTCCCTCGAAGAAATCTTAATTTGTTTTTCCCGCGAAGGTGGCGGCGTCCTCGCTCCAGGCTTTCTTCGTTCTCTTTACCGGCGCGTCCAGGATATCTTAAGGTCCCTACTATTTGAACTGATAAGTCACGTAAGCACCTGAAAACTGACATTTTTGAGTGATACGCGTGTGAAAGACAATAGAGCTTTAAAATACCCTTATCGCTTAGTCTTTGATCTAGAACGAGAGAAGAGTGTATGTAGTTTTTTGACAGAGTTTTACTTTTCGGAATTGTAAAGTCCCTGTGAAAAAGTGTTGAACCAGAACCTCAATTAAACCCTAAATTTCAATTTCTTAAACTAACTCTTAATTTCACGCCGCTTGGCAATGAAGATATAATATCAAAACGGACAAAAATATTGACAAGCCTTTTGATCTCGGATCTGAGCTTCCGCACTGCCTCACTCAATACACATTCAAGACTTCCTTTACTGACGGCAAATTCGGCCTGTGTTGTTAGGATTTGACAATAAAAGGGTTGTCGTTAAGGTGCATATCATGAACTCGTACCTGTAGATCTAAAAACCATAAGATCTTGCCTAGAATTTTCTAATCCCGGAGGACAACTAAAATTTTTATATGACCGTTCCATTCATGTACAATTTTCGAAGTTTAATTTTTCACATTTCACACCTCAGGCTAGGCTATTTTTCTTAGGAAAAAGGAAAACTAAATTTTTCGGATTCAAAAATGTGATGGACAGAGGAATGAAGAAAAATTTTTACTTTCGTTTTGCGCTAAATTGCACCCAAAATTTTCGTGAAAATAATACTGAAGCCCTTGCAATTTTGAAAAGACTTAGGATGACTGAACAGATACAAATTTTACAGCGCCGCTTAGGATGCATTTGTAAAGGTCTACAAGTACTCTGGATAGCCTAAGAAAGTGGCTTCAATGCATTTGGGAGGAACCGTTGCTGCGTGCCCCTGCATTAAGCTAAACATGCCAGTTCATACTTTGTTGCGTCTGCAAATCTGAAAAATATCCGGCTGAACAGGATCTAGGAGTATAGCTAGGATATTTGAAGTGGGGAAAGACTATTGAAAATTCAGAGAGAAATAATCTTCTCCTCATTGACAAAGGCGATTACACTATTAAGAAACTCATTAGGATGCCGGATTTGTAGAAAGAGAATCCATGCAAGGGCAGTTACCAACTCTCATTGCACTTGAAAAAAGCCACACCGCAGTGCAGGGCTGATATCTGCAGCACATTTCCCACTAGTCAAACAAACCGGGCTGATTGCAACAGGGATGAGGACTAGGATTGTACCTTTTATAGGTTGAAGGCTAACATAATGTAACTCATGAATGTGTCCCAACACAAGAGGGGTTGTGTCAGCAACTGCGTGTTCTGAATGGACAATTATTTCACGATCAAGGCTGCTGATAATACGGATGGCAGTTTGAAAGTAGTTTGCTGCAGCAAACAGAACGACGTGATCACCCCAGGTACCGTCTTTCGCCATGCTTTGTAAATATTCACGCCATGATGGGTAGCCAGAAACAAAGTTGAACAAGGATGTTCCATCACGCTAAAAAAAAAACAAGTGAATTTTAGCTGATGAATCAGAATACAACTGGAGTGAATTTTGAGTAAACTGATGACAACAACAGGTCAGAAAATGCTGCAAAAAAAGATATATTTTGAGGTACAGCCAACTATATAACCACCGAAAATACTTTTTCACTATAATGATGGGTGGTCTTTCAAAAGAAAAGCTTTCATGTATGGCGCAAAAATGAGTACACATTTTCCAGTGATTACCCTATTTGAGAAATTCTTCCTAATGATATATTGACGATATATTGATATATTACAGTGCCGAATCCAGACCTTGAGATAAGGGGGCGCAGTCATCCAGACCCTTAGATAAGGGGGGAGGGCCAGTCTCAAAATTTTTTGGCCCTTCAAGTCTCAGTTTGGTCTAAAAATAAGGGGGGGTCCCTCCCCTATATTAACTTAAAACAGATGCTCTAACACACTTTCACTTTACCCTATTTCAGAGTTGCCAGCCCTCGGGAATCTAATGTAATATAATAATAGTAAATACATTCTTATATGTATCAAAATCCCTATCTAATTAAGTTCACCATAACGCTTACTAAAATAAAAAACTTTCTAAAAAAGATGAGTTTTCAACTTGTTTTTAAAACAGATTACAGTCTTGGTATTCTTAATGTCCTCCGGTAGGGAGTTCCACAATTTCATTGCCACAAAAAAGATAAAGCTCTACACCCATAGTTGTCAGTTTTAGCTTTTTGAGGACAGAGTAGTGAACGTGACCCTGATCTTAAAGTTCGTGATGGTTAATTGATACATTTCAATTAAAGGCTTAAGGTAGTCTGCAGACTGGCCATGTATAGTCTAAAACGTTATGAGGAGAATCTTATATCTGGACATTGTCTCTTATTTGCAGCACACTCCTTCTCCCTTACAGGTACAAATCAACAAAGTTCCCAAATCATAACATGGTATGGCTGAGGATATTATCAAATTGGCTCTATAGTCTAGGATTTTATAGGAGACACTAAAGGCCTCAGTGCCCTTTTTTCCCCAGCATGATGAAGTTAAACATACAATTAGGGACTACATCATTGCCTTACTAGATTAGCGTTCTTTCTGAGAAACTGGACCAAATTGTTTCTTAGTTCTTTGTGTTAGATTTGGATTCCTTTAACACTGATGGGTGTCTTTTAAAAGAAAAGCTTCATGTGCGGTGCAAAACAGAGCACACATTCTCAAGTGATTACCCTATTTAAGAAATTATTCGGCCTGACGATATATTGATATTTTAAGTTATAAAACAGATGCTCTAACACACTTTCCCCTATTTCAGAGATGCCAGCCCTCGGGAATCTAACATCTGGACGTTGTCTCTTTTTTGCAGTACACACCTAATCCTTACAGGTACAAATCAACAAAGTTCCCAAATCATAACATGGTATGGTTCAGGATATTATCAAATTCGCTTTATAGTCTAGGATTTGGCCTCTGCCATTTTTTCCCCAGCATGATGAAGTTAATAAGCCACCTTACCTGATTAGCATTCTCTCTGAGAAACTGGACCAAAGTGTTTCTTAGTTCTTTGTGTGAGATTTGGATTCCTTTAACACTTTTCAGTTGCTCTGACAGTGCATAGAACAAACAGTTCCCAGATGCTTGGTTATCAGAAACTAAGAATCCTTCCTTCGCTGCAACTGTTCTCAGATTAGATGGTAGGTTGGTTTTGTTGCGAACCTGGTCTGCATCACATCGCAAATTTTGCAAGGATGGAAGGATGTTCTCAGCTGGAAAAAAAAGATAGTTGTTCTTACATTTTCAGTAGTTTGATAGGTGTGCAGTGAAGCAAATTTTATTGATCATTTTCATGGGACATAATAGACTTCCTCAAAGACCTTCACTTCTTAGTAGGCAGGTACAAAAGTCGGACCGGATCAACTCGGACCGCCAGTCCGGGTCGGATCAACTCGGATCGAATAAAAAAGTAAAAATAAAATAAAATTGGACTCGGATCAACTCGGATCATAAAAAAAACAACTCAGATTATAAAAAGAAAAATAAAATCAGTCGGTATCACTTAACTCTCACCCGCCATTTTGTTTTTTTCTCACGAACTCGTGGTTGCGTAAATTAATTTTATTTTTATTTTTGTTAATTTTAATGATACACTAGTGAGCAGCACACATACACTTCCAGTGAACATTTTCAACTTGGAAGGAGGAGAAATCATGCTCGCCCGGGACAACGAAAATTTTCGTACCCTAGGCGAGAATTGAACTCACGACCCTCCGAATACTACATGTTTATCGGACGTTCCAACCACTGAACCGGAGGGTTGCGAGTTCGATTCTTGCCTTGGGCATGGAAATTTCCTTTGTCCTGGGCGAGCATGGTTTCTCCTCCTTCCAAGGTTGAAATTGTTCACTGGAAATGTATGTGTGCTGCTCACTAGTGTATCATTAAAATTAAGTTTCAGAAGTCCTGCAGAAAAAAAAAAAAAAACAGGAACAAACAAACAAACACTCTTCGGTAACTATCTAAATGCGATCAATAAATAAATAAATAAATAAATAATTCGGTAGTCTAATAAATAAGAAAATATATACATTCTAGGCGACTGAAACTATCATTTCTTTACTGTCCAACTACAACCACGAGCTTATAACATGATCCGAGAGGAACTGGCACTAGTAAAACAAAATGGCGCCTGAAAGCCACGGAGAAAAAAAGGATGATCTGGCCTTTTTTACCCTCCAAATGGGTTAAACTTTCAGTTTTGCTGATTTAATTTAATTTTTTTGATTGCTCCGAGTTGATCCGAGTCCAGTTTTATTTTTATTTTTTTATTCGATCCGAGTTGGTCCGAGTCGATCCGAGTTGATCCGACCCGGACTGGCGGTCCGAGTTGATCCGGTCCGACTTTTGTACCTGCCTCCACAGAATGGTATATATGAAACGTCACAAACTTTTACCTTCTTCAGAATTTGGTAAATTGTATATAACAATTATTCACCGAAGTGGAGGCGGCTAGTAGTGATATTTACCGAGGCCGCGAAGCGGCGATGTAAATATCCACTACTAGCCGCCGACACTGAGGTGAATAATTGTTTTAGTATACACTAAAACAGGGAGATAATTGAGCACAAAAATGATGATTTTTAACTCATTTACTGTTGCCAACGATTACAATTTTGGCGCGCGATGACCGAACAGCTGCGGTCGTCGCTTTTTCTTGGCGACAAATAAAACTTTTAAAGGCGTTTGTGTAGCTCTTGCGGGGAAGTTTCTTCAAAAGGAGTTGTGAATTCTTTTTGTATTTAAAATCATTCTGTAAAAAAAATATTAAATTTAGTTTTAAGCTTGTTTAGAACAAGTCGACTAAATAAAGTAACGCAAGACTTAAGCTTAATTTGCATTTGTAAACGAAAAACTTTTTCACCAGTTTTATCGATAAATTCAAGTCAAAAAGACAAAGCTTTACCTGTTAAAACTTCCAAACCGAACTTCGTCACCTTCTTCATGTATTTTGGAAATAGCTTGCTTGATTAGTTGTGAAATTTCTTAGTTTGTTACGGCAGCAAACCGGGAAGGCATTTTGCTCGCAACTTACGCGAGTTTGGCGTCGCTCGCTCGGAGGAACTGGAGGTGAATCAGTGAATAGTGCAGGATATTCACTGATTAAGTAGCCAATCAGAGCACGCGAAAAGCACTATCCACTGTTTTAGTATATACTAAATGGAATTACCCATATTGATTTGCGATCTCATCGCAAAGACTTTCCTACTGCAACGTTAATCAAAATAGCTGTAGGCCGACAACAGCATATTTGCGTTTGAGTTGGGTGTATTTACTAGCACATTTCCTTCTTTTAATAGACTGATTCCGTAAGAATAAACTGACCTAAAGTCAACTAAAAGCAAGGTGAAGCAAAGAGTGGAATAGGTAGAAGAAAAGAAGAAAATTAGAACATTTTAAAAATTGAATGTTTTTATATTACCTGCATGATTCTCAGTTAGCTTCCGCTTCCTCGCACTATCATGCTGAGCCTCAAAGAGACTATCTACTGAAAGAATCAGCCAAAGACATCATTAGGGTTTTGTGTCTTACTCTTAGTCGATAATTATGCAATTTATAGCTAAGGAAAGAATGTATAATCTGAATTTTTGACCAGAAACGACGCACATTTCTTAAAGTTTGTCTAACTCTCAAAGTGCTAGACTTAAAGTTGAGCGTCTAAAAGTTGAGGTAACGACGCCAATCCTCACGAGTGCTTCTTTCTAACTAATTTCACGCCGCTTGGCAATGAAGATTGAATATCAAAACGGAGGATCTGAGCTTCCACACTGTCTCACTCAATACACATTCAAGACTTCTTTTACTGACGGCAAATTCGGCCTGTTACCCCTGCGCCTAATCATCACACACCAAACTGACAAGAATTTATACCTGAGTAACGAGGCCAAGTGCGAAAAACACCAGGATCACTTAAAATGTGTGCGACAAGAGACGCTGCCATCACACTAGCACAGGCTTCCCATCTTTCTACAGTCGCTTGCTCACCATCCGCAAAATCAGCTATCCCTTTAACAATAAGCCACTCGAGTTGAGAATCAAATGCAGCCGTGAAAACACCTGAAATAGGGAACACAATTAGGAAGTATTCTTTTTAGGAAATCAAGTCTTCTGGACTAAAGACACTAAAAAATTAATTGCCTTGCACATAGACGCATGTGTAAATCTTTCTTTCCAATAATTACGGTTAAATTTTCACAAAAATGTCTTTCTGATTACAAACTGGAAGCAAACTGACCAGAGACAAGAAAACACCGAATCAAGGGATGCCAAATCCCAACGACGGCTAAGTACGACAATTTTTACGTCGTTTCTTTTGATTTGCTGACGGCAACCTTTCTTACAATGAACATGTTTTATTCAATTACGTTATTGTTATAGCGAAAAAGCTGTTCACTTCACATTCCGTTGGCGTTCCGTTAAGTTAAGTTTGTAGCTGTAAAGTTCTTCATCTTCATCGAAAGCTGTTTGTGTCGTACGTATTCAGCCGATCCCAGATCAGACTTAAGCACAACAGACATATGCCCCCATTTATTTTAGCGATGATTACATGTACGCTTCTTGTTTAATTTTACTCTATCACTGTCGCGCGAAAATGGCGCCAATAATACATCAGTTATTGCAGTGAAGTGTGTAAACACCTATTTTCACATTATGATCCAATACATCGGATCACTAATACTCAAAGTAATTACCATGAAGGGAATAGTTCTTTTTTTGGTCCACTTTTTAAAGCGCTCGAGCAAAACACGCGAAGGGGAGGGAGGCCTCCTCTCCTTTTCTCCCGTGCGCGCGCGTCCTCCCTCCTCTTAAAAAACACTGGCGCCTGTTATACTCTTTCAAAAACTTTGAGTTATACATGTATCCCAAAACAGATGTCAAAAAGCCTACCTGCTGAGACTGCAGAGCAGTACGGCTAATAGTCCTTTATCGAATTCAAAATCAGTTACCGCTGAATACAAACATTAACGACACATTCATAGAGCGTTAGCCTCGACATAAAGTAAAATATTCACAAATTTCGGCAAGTAAGTGTTTGAAATTTAAGAATACACAATAAACAGAATAACAAACAGGTCTTCCCTCTCGTTGGATTTGAGAGTATATTTACTTTTGGTGGAGCCTAACCCTATAAAAAATGCTTCTTCACTTCTTTCATTCAGCGGTCATAGGGAACTCGAAACTGGACTCCAGTGTATTTCATAAATATTTCGTTACCAATCCCAGCCATAAGGTAAACGTTTGTGACGTTTTAAAGTATTTTATACTACTACATTAGAAATTTCTGCAATTTGATTGGCTTAGATCGGCTCCTGCTTAGAGCAGTTGTCTTTCAGTTTACTTTGAAATACCTACATGTGAAAATTACAAACCTTTTGCGGGTAGTAGAATAAACAAACAAAAGCATGATTTGTACGTGATTGCCCCCGCAGGGATTTCGCCCAGAGGCGAAATCCCGAGGAGGCACCCTAGTAACTCGCGCGTATATTAAGGACAGTACTTACAGTTCAAATATACAGTCAGTATACTAGAAAAAATCTCGATTTGCTCGAACAGGGGCCGCGAGGAATCGGTAGGTAATGATGACGTTTTTATTGTTTGCGCCCGCAAGTACGAAATGGTTAGGATGACGTAAAAACAGAAAATCCCGAGGGGACCGCTCAGGTAGATTTTGTGACATTTATTGTGCAGTCATACTTCGATACTCTTTTGCGTTACGCAGTGACATTCTGTGGAGCAGTTGTTTTGAAAGTTATGGACCAAAAGACACTCGTTAAGCGCAGATGAGCTTATAAGGTGCGTTTAACTGTGTATATATAAACACTTGGAGAGTCTGCCAGAAACGAGTTCACAAATCAAGCAACACGAGTGAACAACGGCTAGCTTATCACTAGTAGATTGATGGACAATTACAGAAATTCGACGACAATCAAATTCTGTGCTGACTTATTCCCTGCTCACAGATGTCCTCCCGTTATAAAGTGTCAAATAAGACTAGAATGCGCGAGTGAATCGATCAAACGTCCTTTTAATTTCTAGGGCTTACTTTCCGGCAAATAAAATGAACTGAATGTAAAAAGTGAAAGAGAAACGGAGAAATAGCGAAAAATTCAACTTCTAATTAAATCTTTTCTTATGGTTTAGAATAAACTATTCTCGAAACTGAGAATGTTTTGATCAAAGCTATGTAAATCGAGCTGAAACTGTGCATGTGACCTTGCGTTTCCTGTATCATTTATCTCACCTATTGTATGGAATATGTGTGAAAATCTTCATTATGAATCGTTTTATTTCAAAGAGCTACACAACCAGCAAGATACTATTGACCGACAATATACAGAACGGGGACAGCTGTAGTGTCAACTGTTACTAGTATTTAGCATAAATACCACTCGTGATATTTCAAAATTGTCTCAAATTTCATTCGCCTAACGGCTCGTGAAATTACGGAAAACAATTTTGAAATATCACTTGTGGTATTTATGCCAAATATCACTACAAATCATGCTATTACATACTTATGGTACTGTTAGCCGCACCTTTATGACCGAATTACAACTGATGGATCTAAAGCTACCCATATAACCTTGCGTCCTTGTGATGAAGGCTTAAATCCTTTATACTGTTTATACGACAATGTTAATTGAAACAGCTGTATAAGAACGCTACTGTTCAAAGCTAACTAGACATCTACTCACCTTCTCCCTCCATCTCTACTCCTGCCGCGAGGGGATGGCGGTCGATAAGTTCCTTTCGGCGCCATTGAGCTCTGATCTGCTCTGGGCCACTTAAGAACTCGCCATCGCAGTGAACTTTGACCTGACGATCTTCTGGGTTCTTTAAAGGTGCCTGCCATCCATCAGCGCAGTTCAAGATTATTTTTGAGAACAGCTTGCTAACGTGACTACTCATGCCAGCCCACTGGTCTTGCTCGCTTGTCACCACTTTGGATGCATATGTTGTTAGTTTGGCTGATACAACAACGTCTCCTAACTTGGTTTTATCAGGATTGAGACCACTGCATGCTCCAACAGATATCACGGCCTTGGGTTGTAAAATAAGGGCGGCATCCTTGACCGCAATCAGAGAACTGCTTGGACCAATGGAACCTTCATTGCATCTTAGCAGAGCAACTTTTACTTTCTCTTCATGACTTTGAACGTTGTTGAAGTAAACGTAACCAACATCCTTGTAATAATATCTGTAGGGATCTGTTAGCTCATTGTAACAGGATAAGAACTCACAGTCCTTAACGGTTACCAGTAGAACGTCAACGGGTAGATCAGGCTGTTTCGATGTTGTTGTAACATCTTTTCTGGATGGAAGACCAACAGCCAGCTGTGGTGGGCCAGCATCGCTGTCCTTTAAATTACATCTAGATCTAGACGTCTTCTTTGAAGCTTCTGACATGTCAGTTTTCGGCTAAATTGCACTGGAGACATAAAACGAAAAAGTATAACACATGAATTAGCCTTGAACTATACACTCATTTTTATCACAACATTTTTCTAAGAATGTGGAAGAAAAAAATGATGAGCATACATGTATTAAGAACATTACTCACTCGGGCTAAGGTCTACATAACTGTGTCTATATCACCTTGGTAAAACAAGCAGTGTACAGGAATTATTATACACTACGCGGAGTAACCGTCCTACACTTAAAAGTACAAGAACTACCGCTAAGTTAGTTGAAATCGCATGCTGTATCTAGAGATGATACTTTGCATCAATATTAAGTCTAATCAACAAGTACAATGGTTTAAAGGAAGATTTTAAAATTACATTCGTAGTCCACTTTAATCCCCCAAAAAAAAAAAAAAAAAAAAAAAGTGGGGAAGACAGAAGCAAAGATACACGTACAAGCTAATAAGAACTTTCAGTCCTTGTTGAGCCTTGGCTAAATAAACTGACATGTAATGGAACCCCCTGATACAGCAAGAGAGTAGACTCAGCAGATGAGCTTTGTCTCAGTGAACAGTGAAAGGAACACAACAAAAAACTGTGCCTTGTTTCTACTCTCTAGTTTCTGCTCTCTATTTTCTATCTCCCTTTCAAATGTCTGACATGCGGGCTATGTGTTGTCTGGTTTAGAAATAATGCGCTCTGTATTCAGTCTGGGTTTTTACTGCTGCAAAAGGAAGCTAAAACTAGACAATGAAAAGCAGTGAGAAACATACTTAAAGTGTATTGAATTGAAAACAAGAACATTTCAGCCTCTTATGCCAGGGAGAACAATTAGGCATTAACTTAATTAAAATTGCTCAAGAGGCCAGGTGGAAGTGGGGGGGGAGGGGTGGTGGGGTGGTAGCAGGTTTTGACCAAGATGCCAACAAATACATGACTTCCAAAGGAATTAGTTATTTGGTCATTTCTTTTGCACTTTAATGAGGCACGCCAGAGTCCACACAGTACATCACACTTTTAACCCTTTAAACCCTAAGAGTGATCAGCATCAAATTTCTCCTTGTAATAGCAATGCTTTGTAAAACAGAGTGGTCATGAGAATTAAGGACTTGATCACACAAGATGTATTTGTTTGATATTTTATCAACTTCTCCCCACTACCTCTGTAGTAAATGAATAGGGGCGACAAAGGAGAATTTTAATTTTGATCTTAGGGTTTAAAGGGTTAAACTAAACTTTTTTCAAATGACATTGTGCAATCTCTGGAAGTGTCTACAGTGTATTGAATTTCTGTTATCAACCTCAGCAGTCTATTTGAACGTAGCTGTCTCTAAAACCCATGTAAAAGGTCTTCCTTAGGCAGGGGGTCAGGGCAGAACAGATTGTATAATGATATTCAATGCAAGACTAAGTAGGTCTTTTCCTTCTGCAATGGAAAGAAAGGAGGATAAAAATAAGGAGAACACACTTGTCAATCAAGGAAAGTCTTTTCTTTTTGTGAACTGTATGTTCTTTATGAAGAATAATAATGCCATCTTCTCTTTGTTTAGAAAAGTAGTGCGGCACCCCGTTTCACCACTAAATTAAACTTGCCTCTCTTCTCTATTACCCCCCTAAGCCTGATTGAAAGAAATAAACCATTGGGAGGCTTCATAGAGTATTTACAGTAATTAATAATTAACAGAATGTCTAATTTTTCAGAATCTATTGAGAAGAAACATTGCATTTCCCCTCATCAGTAATATTTCGTACTATGTACAATTTGTCGTACAGAAACAGCTTTTAACGTCGTTTTACTTAGAAAAGCAAATGTTTGTCTGAGTCTTACAGGGGGGCGGGGGAGGGGGTCTAAAAATATGCAATCTATTTTTTAAAAGCACGGTGCTTTGCTATTTTCTGTCTGGAAGGTTAAAATAGTTTTAGTTTTATCAGGAGTCGGAGTTTGTTTATAGGCTCATTTGGGCCAGGAGGACACAAAGGAAAGTTTACAGTTGAAAATTTTAGTTTACACAATTTATATGTTGAACAATAAATCAAACTGAATTAATTGCAAAAAATATAAATGATCAAGCATAGGGGGAGACGGAGAAAGAGAAGAAGGAAGACAAAACCTCACTACTTTATGTAGAATTTCCATGTTGTTTTACAAGGAACTCCAAATTTGTCTTTATTTAGGGTAATCAGCGTGCAAAGAAAGTCGTGTCCGATAGCCCGGGGCTAGTGGATTTTGCCATCAGGCTAATGATGTTTAATTTGTTCTTAATTTGCCCGATGGGCAAGTGCTGTTTTTTGAAGAAATTCAAATTACAGAAGGATTGTTATCAATCCTACTAATCAAAAAGGGCTGGCCCCTGGCGCATTTCTTTCGGCTCCTTTTAGGTGACTGTAGCCTGCGTCATAGACACTCTGAACCTCCTGTGTAGAGTATGCGCGAAATAGTGCACAATATCGTGTTCAAATCCCACAGAGTCACAAGAACATATGTAGGTGTCTGATTGGGTAGTTTCTTATGCAGTTTGTGATTATAGTCCAACTTGAAATCAGTGTTCACAGACCAATCATGACTCATATATAGCACATGACAGTGTGAAACATGACCTTAGAGTCAGCTTGTACAATAGAGATTTTTCCTGTTTTCTGACAGGATTTGATCTCAAATACAGTTTACTAATGGTTTTCTTTTACTTCTGTTAAAGCCTTAGGCCCCGTTCAGACGCCGAACTATTCATGAGCCGAACCTAATACATTGATCATGAATTAAGTACATGAAAATTTGGGCGTCTGAATCAATTAGGAATGCATGCCTATTTCAATTGGGAATGGCTCAGCCGTTCTATTTGCCTAGCCCAGCCAGGAATTTCGCCTCTGCAGCTGCTTTGGAATGACTTTGATTCAGATGCCAAACTTTTCATGTGCCAAATCTAATGCATAAATTATTATAACGTATTTTGTAAAAAGTTTGACCGAAATGAGCATTTTTCGTCTTTTGAACTTAGTTCACAGTGCAATTAAGATAGGCATCTGAATCAATTCAGCCGGTCTAAATAATTTGGTTCAGCCTTAATTCGAATTAGGTTTGGCTCATGAAAAAACGGCATCTGAACCGGGCCTTAGGCTTTTATTATGGCTAAATAACCTTAGTTTCTTTGGTTTTCTCCAAAATTCTTGGACCTGAATTAGAGCTCGATGTGTGTACAAATGTAGTTTTTTTTTGTCTCTGAATATCATGATTTCCTGATTTGTCTTGACGCTAGAAATATCTTGACAGTACATGTGCAGAATACACAGCAGTGAATCTGTAGTGATCGGAAAACATTATAAAGCCAGACGCAAGTAGGTAGACTTTCTGAAAGTTTGTTTCCGGTTTCTGGTGGTTAGGTGGTCAGTCGGGAAACAGACTTTTCTCACCTGCAGTGTACTATATTTAACTGGCCAGTTTTCTGGCAGGCACTTGGCTTTGAAGTGAAGACAGGGAAGGAAGCTTAGGAAAGGAACATACACGAAGCAACTGCTGCCTTCAACAAAATTACAGTAATCAAAAGATAAGGTAGAAGGGTTCGCTAGTGATCGAGACTTCTTAATGTTTGCGCCAACAGGCTCAGGGAAAAGCCTAGTATTTCACATCGCGCCATTCGAAAACAAAAGCTTACATAAATAGCAGAAGAATTATTGGGCCATGACAGATATGATAATGTTCGGGTGGACTTTTCGTTGATTTCACCAAAAGAAAAGGTTAAGCAGTGATGCTGGTTTCGTTGAATACAAGGGCTTTTGGTTTGCTGTGAAATTGATCACTACAGTCTTTAGTTGGCCTTTTGACTGATTCCATGGAGCTACATACAGTCTTTGGCTTATTCCATTTTTAGAACGGACCGCTGAGAGCCCGTGGTACAGTAAATGCCAGCCCCTGATCTTTCCACAAGGCAAATTGCTCTCTTATTCAAAGACCTTGTTCACTATATATGTTTTTGATGCTCCTGCACAGTTTTCACAAATAATTTTCTGTTGATCAGCATTTTTTATCCAGCTTTACACTAACAAGGATTTCCAAAGTTCATGCAAGCTGGCGACTTAAGCAAACTCGAAATTTCAAAGACTTTCTACGCGCATTACACGAGAGTGGCTTCTTTCGATTTTGGAGAGATTCAGACCCAGAAAACATTTTTTTTTAGGTCAGGTCATCTCTATTTTTACACCATCCAGTCATTGAGAACTGTTTATTTCAGTGTGCTGTCAAACAACCCATCAAACTAATGTCATTGAACAACATTTTTTTTGTGCCAACATTTTACAAAAAGAATTCAATCTTCTGCAGATGGAACAAGTCCACTTGTGACTTCATCCGTCACTTGTTTGTGAGCATTTTCTTGCGCTTCAGTGCTCACTCACCAGTCCACTTGTGGCAAGTCTAACCAGTTCACAAATTTACAAACACATTCTGGCCTTGAAGGAATTTGTCTGTTCAGGAAGAAGGTTTTCCAGTTTGAACTTCTCTTCTACTGTTTACTGTTTGCCAACCTCCTTCTGTGAATTTTAACATGTCTAACCTGAGCCCAACCATCACACACACATAAGAATTGGACCAATCATGAGATGCGTACCGCCTAACAGAAATGATCACGTATATCCTTGTGACTCTGATGGAAATCAGAACGAGCTTTTGAGCACTAATTCGCGAACGGAATATGCCAATAAATGATCTAGATGATGTGTTGGCCAGCTGCAATGCAGGCTAGTTGACTGCAGAAATTTTTTTTTTTTTCATAGAAATGATATGTTGGGCACCCTGGTTTTCACAAGTTCACAGTACTGGGCTTCTTTCAGTTTTTTTAGAGCACAGTCTTATGTACTTGTGGTGGTATTATTTTCTAATTTGCTTTGTTTCATACTCATGACTTATTCGAACATTATCATACTCAAAACTAGTAGAAAAAAAATTAATTAAGGATAAAACTGAAATGAACCACAACATACAATGATGTCCTCTCATTAATTTGCTACAGT